GCAAGTGAACTGATAGGTGGAGAGACAGCCCAAATGGCTCTTTGTTGTGTTGTCAGTCTGTTGGGGTCCATGGCACAGAAAGTATGGGAATAGGGAGAGGTGGAAAGGAAGTGGCAAAAGTACAAAGAATTTTATAAGACCTCATCTACAAAGTAGGGTTAACTACAACTATTGAGAAAGGAAATACAGGGCATCATCTTTCTTGATCAGGATGAGTGCTTTTACTAAGTCTGTTTACTGTACCATATATATAGAATACAGAATTGTGTAATAGATTTTTGATTTATTGGAACAAAAAGCCCCAAACACCCAAAATCACATTCTTTTGCTGAATATCCAGGGAACTTTATTGGAGGCCTGGAAGATAGAGTTTGAGCTAAGATGTGCTTTGCAGAAGGAATTATATTTTCACTGTTGGCTTGAATTAAGAGAGTATTGTGTGAGAGCAGGATACTGTATGATGTAATTTGAGCACCCAAATTTCCTACTGTGAGTTTATCAGAATGTGATAAATAACTAGAAACGGTATGGTATCCCTATAATTCCTGTTTTATACTACTAATATATTGTAATCCTTTTTTATAGCCTGCTGCAGTCAACCGCATTCTAGCTAATAAATTTATTACTACTTTCCTCCTAGCAAGGAAGAAAGGTTACTAGGAAGGGCCTGCTCCTCCTCTTTCTCATTTCAATACCAATTAGAGTGGGATTGGGAGCTGTGTGAGTGGCAGAGTGCTCTGACTGTGGAATGTCACCAGTACGAGAGATGAAGATTTATTGTTTCCGTCCCTAAAGTGATATGGAGAGTCCTGGTCATGTTCAGTCTCTTCTGACACTTTTTTCCTGTTGTGTCAGCAGTACAGAACAGTATAAAAGCTGTACATGTGCCACAACAAAACACCATTATTTAGAAATGATGCTTTATGAACCTGTAATAGCTGAATTTAGTGTCACTTTAGCACAGTGGTTCAGCCTTAGCAATTAATATTGCCTGATACACTTAACTGTATTTCTTCCGTGAGAAGTGCTTCACAGTTGTATTGCTTTGATGGATGTGCATTCTAGTTCTTGGGAACTTTACTGAACAAGCAATGCTAACTTAGACTTGTCTGGACAGGCCACAAATAATTTAACAATCCACAATCCGAGACATATAAGTCATAGTTTGAAAAATGATAGTTTGATAAGCTTTTTGCTATTTTTAATGTTATGCTTTGCAGCTTCAGAAGCTTCTTACTATGGACCCTACAAAGAGAATTACCTCAGAGCAGGCTTTGCAGGACCCCTACTTTCAAGAGGATCCTCTGCCTACATCAGAGTATGTATTCCTTCTTCTGCGCTCTTCAGGGGTGTCTTCTTTCTGCTAAATGCTAATCCCTGAAATGAGATGACAGCTGAAAAATTCATGGATATCTACCTATATCCACAAGAAGTAGTAGCTCAGGCACGCTCAGTAGAAACTTACAGTACTGAAGTGTCTGTATCTACTGGTGCCAGAACCGAGTGGTCGTAGGCAATAACCCAGTACTGCACTAGTTTTGTAATTCTGAACGTACTACCAAAGCTAGTGTAACAATATTATTGCAGTATTTAGAGAATTTATCTGTACCCTGTTCTGTTCTGCCTTACGTAGCCTCACAGAGCCCTGTTCTCCTTTGCCTGGTTTCATTATGCCTCTGCCTAGGACTAGGATAGTTCTCTGACCTATAGCCCCTTCCCATGCCCTCTTGCACAGGATAACAGTATGAGGAGAGAAAAGTGAAGAGATCAATGACTGCCTAAAATCCCACAAGTCCCTTGTTCAGAAGGCTTGAGAGTACAGATTTTATATCTATATATATTTTATGGTAATGAAAAATTCAAATTATATATTCAATTCCAAATAATATTTTCAATTCCTACTGGCAGGCTTTGCTCTTCCAGTTTCTCTTCCCAGTTTTTAGAAGCCTGGTGGTTCATAGCATTATGATCCATAGGAGCTGGATGCAGGGAGACTTCCACCTTTGCTTTCACTGTTTCCTCAGCTAGCAGGCAACACTAAAAGGAGGGAACAGCCACTGGAGTGCAAAAGGAGTCTAGTTGAGACTAGTTGGGGTTTTTTTTCTTTCTTTTTCTTTGTCTGTTTGGATAAGCCAAACACTACATAGCAGCTAGATTAGGAACTGTTTACACACTGTAAAAAATCATGTCACGTCAATTGTATTCTGAATGCTGGCACAGAAATCTAAGAAATTGATACTGGTCAAGTTCTACCAGTAATTTTCTATTTAGTGTTTATCTGATACTATGCTATGTAGAGCTATAGCTCCCCATGGATTACAGGATAACATTATGATAAAGTCTCTGCCATAAACATTAAGGAATGTTCCAAATCCCATTAGCCAGTTGAATTTAAAAGCTATCTTTTTTTTCTCTAAACAAGACCTGAGAAGCTAATTGGAAGTAACTCTGCAGTTGTGATTGGCAAATATATTTAAGCCTGCTATAAGCCAAGGCGGGCTCATAAGACATTAACACTCTTTGGATCAGGCCCTTTATTCAGTGAGCCATGCATGTTCCAACTAGGTGTTGTGGAACCTCTGACACTGTTTGTTCATTTTGCCATCAGGATCAACAAGTGGTCGTTCTGGCATTCAGGCATGCTCAACCACGCCTGATTTCTAAATGATGGCCTCATGCCAACAGCAAAGAGATCTGACATTATGATCAGCACCTAGCTGCTGGCAGAAGCAGACTTCTATCTTGAATGCTCACAGTGCCACTCACTTATGGAAACAGGACTCATACAGGAAATTAAATTGTGTTATATTCACTTGTTTTTAATATAGCATTAAATAAATGTATGTCATATGTGCATCTTTGTGGAGTGTTTACTGTTTACTGTGTTTCAGTGTATTTGCTGGCTGTCAGATTCCATATCCTAAAAGAGAATTCCTTAATGAAGATGAACCTGAAGAGAAAGGGGATAAGGTATAATAAACTCCTCTTTTTTTTTTTTTTCCCCCCCTTTTAAGTATGCAATAAGGAAGAGTCATGGTGCTACCAAATGAAAACCAATGAAACATGAAGAGTTAACCAAAAATGTGTTTTCCAGGCAAGGCTCTCTTAAAACTGCTTCCCAGACAGATTAAAAGTATCAGATGACTTCGGGGTGTCTCAGGTGGTATCACCAGCACAGTTTGCCCTGACCTGTGGGGAATGAGCTGGATGGGTTGTTCTGTCAGCGGTAGCCTACTTTCAGCTGCCATCATTCCAAGAGGACCTTGCTACCTCCTCCTGCATTGCATGATGAAAATACATTGTGATCATATGAAAAGAATGGCATTTCCATTGTATGACTGGCATACATCCAGCCATTTGAAAGTAGATGGCTGTCAGGGTCTCAAATAAATAGTGGCAGCCTGCTTCTGGCACTACATCAGAACATTTCATCCATCTGCACACAGTTTCCTGACCGTGTTTTAAGGGCCTTCAGACAAAGGAGTAATAAGGAGTGTGAACTGTTCTGGTGGCAACAGTCTGCTCTCAATATTCTCTTTCCCATAGCCCCATAGACATGGGTAAGAACTTGTTTGTGTGCCTAGTAAATTTTGGTGTGTTTGCAACATAATCCGACCTGCTTTGTGCGTGTAGCTCAGCTGTGCTATGTGACCGCAGTGATTGTCCCATCATGCTGTGAAGGCTGGACAATGGTGCTATAGTGTATGAAACAGCTTGTTATTTTCACTTAAAAATGTACAGTGACACACCAACAGTAATGTATAGCTAGCAAAATGTGAAGAAAACAGCCTTGAACTGTAATTATCTGAGGACTACGTGAGAAGGGCTGTTAATCTTTTGGAGAAACCATTTGACTACATGCATCTTCTGTTTTCAGATTTTCTGCATAACATGAGAATCTAGCTGTTTAAAAGTATGCCTATCAATACATTTCAGACAGCAAATTTTGTTTTCGGAACAGATATTGTAGATTCTTCTGTACTGAGAACAAGTGGTAACATCCTGGATTTTTGCATCCAGATAGTTTTTTCAAAAAGAGGAAACAGACACCTAAGCAAAAATACAATGAAAGTCACGATACTGATTTGATTTAATTTAGTTACTAGCTTTGCTTCAACTCTCACAGCTTCAAAAACAAGAACAAACCTTATGAATTAAAATGACTCTGGCTTTTGTTAATTCAGTGTATTTAAAAGTAAATGTCTGTCTTTTTCCTGGGAGTGTTGGGGGGGGAAACAATGGCATGTCTATATTCAAAACAGCCATTGTATAAATGATCTTTGAGATTGTTGGGGACAGTCACGTATTTATGCACACTCCAAATTAAACTTTTTCCAGACCATTTAGGTAATATAAGTCACGCATTACTCATTGAATGTGTTCCCACAGTATAGAAAATGTGAAGGTAAAGGGTATTCTGAAAGTTGGATCTGTGCCATGTTTTGTTTCTTTGATGTTGTTGCAAGTGAAAGGATTTTTTTTTTTATAGCGTTAGTTTCCAGTTTGTTTTTAAAATCATAAATATCTGCATAGTCCTTTGGAAACCTAGAGGAGTTCTCTGTGTTTGTTTATTTGGAACTTGCATCTGAATTGAATAACCTTTAACATAAACATCCATTCTTCAAAATGGTTAACTGTTAGTCAGCAAAGCTAAAATGAGTGTTTGTAAAACAAAGTGAAAAGGATTCTTTTCTCATTCAAATTCTGTTAGGCACGTTTCTGCTGGGTTCGTTTCTAGGTAGGACCGGAATTTCATTTTGGTAATTTGTGCCTGAGAGGTGACATGTGGTAATATGTTGCTAACTGTAGACCTTTTACAAGTTTGTTTATTTAGGAACCACCATGAACAAGACTGACCTGAGGACAATTTTTTTGCTGGCATAAGTTGTTTTTGCGCGCTAAGGTAGTGCAGCTAGACCCCAGCCAGAGCCTGACAGAGTAGCTCTTAGTCTCTACCCAGGCAGTAGCAGTAGTAGGTGCGCAGAAAAGCAAGCTCAGACTAGTCAGGTAAATTTTGTGGTAATACACAAAGTGCGAAACATCGGGCCTATGGCAAACTGTTGTCTTTAATTGTGAGAGTTCCTGCAATATTTGTTTACACATAACAAAATTGGAGTTTTTCAGCTCTCACAGTAGCAACCACCTCCCTTGCATCCAAAGACCCTTATGAAAACACAAATTTTGGAATTCTAGCACAAATACCGCCTTAGTTATTGGTGTTTGTTTGTATAAGTGCAGTTCAAACCATTATGAAAAGATAAATTGCTTTTTAACGTTTTTTTTTTTTACAAGCTAGCTTGATTAACTTTTAAAATTATTGAAATTTAAATCTCCCAGGAAACAGAATCTGACTGAGATGGGATTTGAGGATTAGAAGCAGGAGGATACATTACTGGTTTTGCTAAATGTGAAATGGCAACGCAAGCCACCTCTAAGTCCTTGAAGATGCAAGGCTTCTTTGTAATCTTAAATGAATACATCATTGCAAATTTCATCTGAATGTCTCTTGGGAGACCCTTGCGATGAATGGCATAGATACAGATCTTTTATGTCATTTATCTGAGGTAACTAAATGCCCCTGATGAATCAGTCAATGAATGCCAATCAATGGTTATTGGGGGCATCAAGAATTTTCTGCTCGTGGCAACTGGTTGTCATGATTTCTGAGAAACTAATAAAGTGAGGCTTTTGTAAAAGGCTGCCATACTAAAGCTTTGATAATTATATAAGCAGATATTCTAGGAAAAAAAGACTATCCTGAAATGTTCCATACAGTATATTGGGGAGGAGGCTAGTAAGGCTTTTTAATTCAAGCCATGACAACTGTAGGTTTTTTGCATGATGAGCAAATGACATATCTCACGTTAGGAGCGAAATTGCTTTTCTTTGCAATTCTCTTATGTGCTTTAGTGCTCTGGTGGAGGAGCCATCCCCGGTGCTTGAAAGCAGACAAATGGGTGGTCTTCCCTTGTAACTGTCTAATCATGGAGGGCAGAGTTGCACTCTGCTGGTTTTCTAACCTTCCCTCCAGTTCCCTAATACCCTTTTATTCTGTAGCCCTCTGAAACCAGAAGAGTACAATGTCTTTTGCTCTTCTTAACTTTTTTCTCCCTTTCGTGGCACTTTTCTCTTTGTCTCTCTTCCTGCTAGGTCCCAGTGTCATCTTAATTGTCTGGCTTCTCTTCCATTGCTAGTCTTCTCCTTCCCTTGCCAGATTCTTCCTTCAGCTGTTTCCTCCTCTTTTGTCTTCCACTATTTGTCTCTGGTCAATTTTCACTTTTCTGCTCTTTCAGTAAGATTTTTCTGACCCTATACCTAGTGCACCATGCTGGACCGTATTCCCAGTATACCACTCTTTACAAGGTACTTAAAAGCACAGGAGAGCAAAACAGTAATGAAACCCGTTTCTGGTTCTGCCACAGAACTTCCTCGCAACCTGGAAGAAATTATACCATTCCTCTGGTCTCAATTTGCTTACCTTTTTGGCAGTAATGCTGCCAACCTCCTTCGGGTTATTGTAACGTGTCATTTGTGAAAGTTTGAAAAGTGGTTTTGGTTCTGAGTGAACAAGGCTGTTGAAGCACTTAGAATACTTTACTGTGGTTCACCATGTCTGCCACTGAGCACTAGTGAAATTTTGGGGTTTTGATTCAGTTCATTAGGCAATTACTGCTTTATGAATGGTTCCTTCCATCCTCCTCTCTGACCGCTTGGCTAGCTGTAGGAGGCACTAGACTGTCCTTCCAGTTTTAGTCTAGCTTGCTTTGTTAAAAAACCAAAATCTCCACAAATGAGATACCCCCACAAACTGTGCAAGAGTGTACCGAGGACGCGTTTCTCCCGACAAGCAGCTTTGCTGTGTTTTCCCATCGAGCGGTCGGGGCTGCCTCCTTCTCTACAGGCACGGTGGCACTGGCGTTGGCAACTCTGTAAAGCTCAAACTACTTCAGAGCAAGTGACCGTGTTGTGTCGCTTCTTCCCCTAGAATCAACAGCAGCAGAATCAACATCAGCAGCAAACAGCACCTCAGCAGCAGCCGCAGGCAGAGCTGCAGCAGCCGCAGCCGCAGCAGCAGAACAGCACCCAGACCAACGGGACGGCTGGGGGGGCTGGCGCGGGAGGAGGGGGTGCGGGCGCAGGGCTCCAGCACAGCCAGGACTCCAGCCTCAACCAGGTGCCTCCGAACAAGAAACCACGCATAGGGCCTTCAGGCGCTAACTCAGGCGGGCCTGTCATGCCTTCAGATTATCAGGTACCTCTTGAATTTTTGCTGCTTCTGATACTGTACGGCCAAAATGTCATTTTCCCCCTTCCCCACTGCAGGAACAGGTCATGTTTTAATGAATTTCTTCTGTAACCTGAGTAGGTGCGCTATGATATATTAGATAAAAATGTGGGTTTAAAGTTTTAAAGTAAAAAGGCTTTGTTCTGTGGTTAGTAATTTTCAACAGAATACCAGTATGAGTCGTATCTGCAGCACCCTATAAAGTGTTGAGGACTAGTCCACTCCAGGAAAGCACTTAAATATATGCTTAACTTTATGTTTGAGAGTAATCTGACTGAAGCCGGTGGAACTATCTCATGCACAGAAATGCTGTGTTAGATCAAGTGCAGGATACTCGGCTCTTGGCAATATTAAATCCTGTGTGAGAAGCAGATCTGAGAAGATCCTGAGAAGCAGAAGCAAAGTTAGAACTAGGTGCTCTCGTTTGATTCCTGCTTCATTTTACCTCATACCATCACATGTATGGAGTGGTTCTGTAGTTTATTCTAGTATCTTGCGAAGTCTACTTCTAATGTTAAAGAAAAAAATGCATGTTAGCACAGGAATGATGTTTTGGTTCATCAGTATGATTCATGCTGAAGTAGGGCACAAAGACACGCATTGTTTCTAACGTGACCAAAGTTGAATAGATTTCATGTTTTCCAGTACAGTAGCATTCATAAGCAGAAGCAGTATCCCTGCTTTTGGATTTCTTATTTTTGGATTTGCATACTTGTCTTTGCTTACTAGAATTACATTTTCCACTGAAAAAGTGACTTACACTAAATATAGAAAACATTGAACTTACCAGGATCTTCAATACTTGTGAATTTATACCTGCTGAGACAGTAATGAGTTGAAAGCAGAATAAGAAAAAGGTAGATATTAAAGGTAGCTTTTAAAAGATATTAGGGATTCTGTCTGCTACTCGCCTTTGAGAGGATCCCACCTTGGAGAATGGTCTTTTCAGGCTGCTTTGAACTTAAAATAAGTAGTTTTTAAAAAAAACAGCTCTGGAGTTGCCTTGACTTAGCCCTCCAGACCTTCTCCACAGACAATTGATTTCTCAGTGCCAGACTTCTTTCTCGCATTTCTGTTTTACTCTTTTAATGACAAATGATCATGAAGGCATTGAGGGCAATTTAAGGGTAAAGACAACTAGGTTTCTTTTTTGAAAAGTTCCAGACAGGCTTGAGGTCTGGACAGATCACTACAGCTGTCTGACTACACAGTATTTATGGCTGGCCTGTTTTGGTCTGTATTTTGAGGACTGGTGTGCTGCTGCATTTGATGATATCCATTATAGAATCCTTATACAGCTCTCTGAATTGTTGGCAAACTTCCCCATTACAAGTTGCTAGCAGTCTATCCTTTTTTTCAGATAGATTTTTTTTTTTTTTTACCCCCTATGACTCTTTCCTTCTAAACTTTAACAGCACAGGCATCAAAATGATGATCTGTATGTTTCCTTTACGTCACTTGCTAAATTGTATGGTCTGATTATCCATTTTTACACTTGTGTTTGGCTATCTGCCCTTAAATTCTAGCTGACTGTCTTCTGTTCCAGAAAGGAATGTCTGCAGTTTGTCCAAGTCTGACTTCGTTAAAAACAAATTCTCTTCTGTGGAACAAAAATAAGCATGGGCAAGTTAATGCATTCTTGTAGTCTTATGGCATTAATTTTGCTCCATTATGTCTTATTCAGAAGCAGGAAGAAGATTCCCACCACCTTTAGCTGGTGTTCTAAAGTCTCTGTTGAAATCTTTTTGTAGTTCACCAACCTCAATATTCGTTGCTTCCACAAATGACAGTGCGAATTTCTTGTTGAATTTTACTGCGCATTCCTTATGTGACCTTGGGAGTTTTGCTTAGCATGGTGAGCTGATGCTTTTCATCCAGAATGAGTTCCTATAAAGTCATAGCATTTATCACAATTCTTTTTCTTTTCTGTTAGAAGTTGCAAAAACTTTCAGAATTTTGAGACAAATTCCAGGTTTCAGACACTCTGTTAACAATCTAACCATGCAGGCCAAGCATAATCTGGTTATTAACAGCGTACATGCTGCCGGGAGACCTCTCTTCCAAAGCCAGTGTGCTGAGCTGTTATCTCCCAAACTGACCCTTACAAACAAGTGAAGTTAGTCCGCACAGCTATTAGTTATATTGATATTATATTGGGATACAGAGATCTGCAAGATTGGACTGTTAACTCTCTCTCTTTAGCCTCACTGTGCTTCACCTTTGAAAGCAACCTTCATATTCCTACATTAGACAGAACACAGAAAAAGTAATATGATATTTTTAGGGTTTAGTATGTTTTACAGTTTATGTAAAATTAAAGGTATAAAGCTATGTAGAGAAACAAAGGGCAGAAGTGGTTTACGCTGCCTGAAAGTTAGGTTCCTGCTCTTCATCTAGCTGAAAAGTTGTCAGGAGGCTTTCACAGCTCTCCTGGTTGGGTTCCAATGGTTAGATGAGACTACTGACTTGGGGTATTGCCTTCACTGAGCAGATTCTTGGTCTGTGGAGGATGTGGTATTCTTACAGACCCACTGTCTCCATGGGATTTCTATTCAGAACTCAAACTTCTCCAGAGGCTTTCTGTAACTCATACTCCTGATATTTAATCAGAATGTAGGTTCTTAACACTTTTCCTAGACGATTGCTGTTGGCCATAGTCTTGCTGATGACTCTTGGATATAGCGAAGTAGAACCATCAACTAGACAGTGAACAGAACTCTATTGAGTGGCTGCCTGACCCTGCACGTTAACTTGGCTGGAAAAAACCTTTTTGCTGCCTGCAAATAGTTTTGGGTTTTTTTGTAGACTCTCCTTTCTTGTGGATTGGGGTGGGGTTTACCTTGCTAGAGAGTCTCCTATCCATTGAGCAGTACTTTTCACGCAAAGTGATTTTGCAGCTTGTGTTATTTTACAGCTTGCATTATTAATTCTGGACAGGGAATGGATATGGTAATAAAAGGTCAAATTCAGCAGGCTGGAGGCCGCAAATGATCCATGAATTTGGCTTGCTGAGGTTGGGGTCCACTGAGCTAACATTCCAAACATTGGAGGGGGAAAAAACAACATTCAGGAAAATGAATGTTAGGTTATTGCGCATTCACATGCCCGTCTTTAAGCAGTTGTCCTTGCTTCCACTAGATAAGGCAGCAAGTTGAAAAGCTTACCTAAAATTATATTATTTTATCCTACTGGACATTTTTCATTTAGAGTAATTGAGTAACTCTTAGGTCATGGTTGACTTTTTCTCAGGAACAGAATAAATTGTTTCTCTGTAACATTTAGTATTACCTATCTCGAAAAGGGTGTTTGTGGCCTTAGCAGTTTGTTTTTGCATTAATAGCACTTACAATAATGATAGGTGTAAGTTTAAGAAACAGTTGAATTTTGAAATGAAGTCTGCTCTCTCTTGTGTCTTGTGTATTTTTCCTTCAAAAAATGGGTGTATGCATGCTGTACTTCTAGGTGTCTGCCACAAGACCTTGTGTATTTTGTGTGCTGTGTTAAGGTTGATTGCAGATCAGGTTGATTACTTGTTTTATGGGACCTTAAACAGTAACACTGTTTACTCAGCTTCTCCAACAGTCACATTTTAATGAGCTTCAGAGAGATTAAAAGTTTCCTGAGCTGCATAGTCCTAACAGGCTGGTTTTCATTCCCCTGATCCCACTCTGTTTTCCTGCAGCACTCCAGCTCACGCCTGAGTTACCAAAGCAACATTCAGGGATCTTCTCAGTCCCAGAGTACAATGGGCTATTCCACGTCGTCTCAGCAGAGCTCCCAGTATCACCAGTCTCATCAGTCTCACAGGTACTGAGAGGGCTAACAGACTGCACTCAGAAAGGAATGGACTAAAAGCCAGAAGACTCCAGCAATATGAAGTTCATAACGAAGAGAAGAACCAAAAATACAAACTGTGATGCAGAATTAAAATTCACGATGACAAAAGGAAAACTTCACTCACTGAAGACTTCCCCCCCTCCCTGCCTCCCGTCTCTTTATTGCCATAAAGGAGATTCCCGTGAAGTTTTCCTGCCTCCCCGCCCTTGCATGTGCTCCATTGTGGTTACTCTAATGAACCCTTCTGATCTGAACCCAGCACTTAACTTCTTTAACCTTTGGAATTTTGAAGGATTCCTGGTGCACCTTCCTTATGCTGTAGTGATTGCCATAAATCTGTCTTTTCAATCTCTTTGATGGGATTTTAAAGTTTTAAAATCTTGAACTCCCAGGCTTTCAAGCTTGTATATAGTTAGTTTTATACAAGGCAAACCAGTTTAGCTATACAGGTATATTGCACCTTTTTAAAGCACTATGTTATTTTCACAGGATATTACTGTTTTGCTCATGGATGTCAAGAACAGCAAAATTTTACTGTTCCAGAGTATTTTACTATTCTGTTTTTATTAGTCTAGTTTTCAGGCGAGGTCTTAAAAATAAAAAAAAATTAAAAATAAATAAAATTAAAAAAGAAAAAGGAAAAAAGAAAAAAACCCACCCAAGTCTCTGCAGCAACAAATATGCTTCGTGCTACTGGACTGAACTCCAAACAGAAGATTGCTGATATTTCTTAACTCATTCCCACTGAATTCTTGAAATCACAGTGATCATTCTCTGACTAGTTTTAAATTAAGCATTATTTTAAATGAAACCAGGACAGTCACATAAAAAGGAGATGCTTTCAGGATCTGTTGGAACAGAAGAATGCAATGTCTTCCCAGGCTGGACACCAAAATAGTCAGGAAAAGGTATTTACTGCCCTCAAGTCTCAGTAGGGATGTGGATGACGGGCTTGTTTTTTCTGTTAAGCAGCTGATTAATGTATGTGAGGGTTCTATAAATTTAGCTTTCTTTCACATTCCTGAGTCAGTTTTCTAAATATAAAAGTGACAGAAATACTAAGACTTGCGAAAACAAATGCATTTAATCATTTTATGTTAGAATTAATAATTAAGAGAAATTACTGTGCAGTTTGAAAAGCATGTTGAAAATTGTTCCTTTTTCATGTTTATAATGCATATTCTGTGTCCCTCACATTGCTGTGATTAACCCAGATTAGTTACACCAGATGCGCTTGATTGCACTAAAATGTTTCTTTTTCCCTAGAGCAAACATGTTTTGATTGTGCCTAAGGACTGTAAGTGGATGGGTAGCTGGCAGAAAATCCCCAGTAAATAAGAGTTCAGAAGCATAATCAGAGGATTATTGTCCAACTTCTGCAACCACAGTTATTCGGAGAGACACAACATGTAATTTGGGACAGCTTCGTTTTTCCTTCATCCTTCAGAAATAAGGCTGGCTCTTGTTGCAAAAAACCTGGAAAAACGCATTTAGAAAGCTACTAGCAGTGTAACATCAGCGAGCTTCTACAACTGGTGTCCAGAGAAGAGGTGAAGTGAGAAGAGTTTATATGTAAACAGTTAATGTTACGGGCTTTTATACCGCAGTGTGTTCTCTTCTGTCCTGTGTCCGTACAAAAAAATTGTATATACCCATAGGCGTTCACACTGAAGTTGTGATCAGACCTAGCAAGATGAGTAAATCTGTTTGCTTTGAGAAGAATGCTTTTCATCACAGCTAGACACGTACATGTTTCTACTGGATTTGATCTCCCAATCACCTTTAGTGCCCCCTTCCTCCTCAAACACATGTTGTTTTCATACCTTTTGTGAGCAGTTGGCTTGCTTTGGCCATATCTGCCATCATGTGGTTTTGACAACCACCCAGCTTCTCTGGAAAAGCAACTAAAACCTGCTTTTGTCATCAAATGGGTAAGAAGGTGGTGAAAATGAAATGAAGCAATTTGAAGGAAAAAATTATTTCTGGGGAAAAATAATCTCCCAAAGGATACTTTTGATGTGTAACCCTTGAAATGCTACATATTATATGTACCCTAGTAGCCTGTTTGAAAAAACAGATTTTAATTGTTCCTTTATTTTATTTCAATGAGTCTG